TATGGAGTTTGAGACGGAAAAGTGTTGCGATATCATGCTCATTGACGGTATTGCTCCTGCTCCTTACAATGTGGGTTGCAGATGAATTAGCACTCATCTTATCGACAAATTCGGAAAAGTAATATTTCAGTTGTATAATTATCAAGGTTTTATGCAGCCAATGTTCCAATTTGCTAACAGCAGCACAGTCACGTTCAATTTCACCTCCGATGGACTTGTTGGTGGATCGGGCTTTAGTGGATCCGTCTACAATATTGGTGAGCTTTTTTGTTTGCCACTCATACAAGTTCCTACCGATTAGGGACATATTTGCTCCCCATCTGGCTTTGGGAACGGTGTCTAAAAGATCAGGTCCATTTCTCAGCTATTATGTAGTAATGCCCTTGAAGTGAACGAAAAACTAAGGGAGCAGCATTGGTACCGCGGCGAAATAGCAGCAGCAAACAAATTCATCAAATGAATTGTATCGAAGCTTCCAGCAGCTTTTGCCTAAAAATTAGTAGTCTTGGTCCAAATAATATATGAAGCACCTACTTTAACAAGTAACACTTACAAATCTGTTTTAGATTGCTTTTGCAATTTTACTTTGCTACAACTAACTGAAGAAAACCCTTACAAGGAAATCTTTTCGCCTGGATTTCTTGATGGGGCTCCAACGTATTGTCCCAACTTGAACTGCTTCTGGATTGTGCAATTCTCGACTGATTATGAACTCGTGTCCAACATGTCGGTTCTGAACCTCCGTTCAGTTGATACGCCACAAGATCTGCTGACAGTGACAGACAATTTCGGGCGGATTCTCGTCCAGTAAGCGAAAAAGCTCACTTCTGAAATTGCTTCCATTGAAGCGTTTGCTTATATACTTTGCATGGCTTATTAGTTTAGAAAGAACGTGATGTCGTACGGAGACGTCTCCGAGGCGATCACAACATCTGGACAGCTCTCGTTCAATCTGGTCACATCACCGGTTACAGCATTTCCTCCCTCACTAGTGGCATCAGGATTTCTGGTTCAACTGACTCTCGTTAAAAGTAAGTTTAATTTCTGAGAGGTCCTGCTGGTGAGTGGTGGTATTTTTTAAACATTTTCGAGATTTTACTTTGTCGTTTTCTGCACGTGGTGTCTTCCTGAAGAACAGCGTCCCAGGTTTCAGCTCGAGACGGATTTCGATCAGACGTGTTCCAATCTTTGCACCATTTCGAGCTTACATTTGTAGACGAACTTTCGTGTATCCCAGCTCCTGCTTCAGATGCTCAGGAGACGCTGCATACTAGCTGATTCTTGCCCCTCATATTAGACAGAATGAGCGACTTTCCTACAATTCAGCTTTTTTCTCGCTGAGTCACTAAAGCCAATTCGAACTGATGGAAAATGAGGCAGACCACTTCTTGGTCGATGTGTGACCCTTGGTGTTATGATGCACAGACTATCGGGTAGGAGCAGGAGCATCTCTAGAGTACAATTCTCAGGAATAGCTCCAGTATGAAAAAGAATCAAAGCGGAATGAGTAAACGAAATCAATCTAAATAAGAAAACAAGAAAATATTTCTTCTGACGATTGCTTCTGGGACATTTTGAACGTCTTTTTTTCACTTTTGTGCCTTCTTAATGAGATTCCCGTCGAAGACGTTGTTCTCTACCGATCCAATCGCCTCACTCTATATGCTCAAAAACTCTCGTAACCATTTTTTCGAAAAAAGCGACTATTCATTGGCACCTTTTTCTGGTGTATGGCATCCATGCTGGCATAGCTTCGTGAAGTTTGAACACCGTTCAGTATTTTGAATACCCATTGAAAAGCCTGAATTACGGAGCACGGCGTCCTCGAGTTTTCCAGAACGATACTGCTAGGTGGCACTTCTTTTTTTTTTATGGAATTTGAATATCACAAATTAGCTATACGATCCAAAAGTTTGCATTTTTCCGTACCTAAAGTTCCCTTCCTCTAAAGCTAAATGGTAAATATTTTCAGAAAATTTCCATAGAAAAGCCATCGTTTTGACGGATGAAAACTTTATGGTCGATATATCAACGGAATTTTTTGCTGAAGGACTCAACATGACATATGAGTATCTAATAACAGCGCGTCCAAATCGAAAGGCAAGTGAAACTGTCATTTGGCTATTCCAGGGTTTTTTTAAATGAAGTTGTTTCACTTATAACATGTATGTATGTATGTACATACTTTACAGGACGTAGTGCCTGCGCTGAAGAAATGCCATTCCATTCATAGCAAAACATCGTCCCACCTTTAGCTAATAAAGTGGTCTTTGAGTAGAAGCGGCCTTTTTCAATGACCTTGAAACATACGAAATTCAATAGGGCTGAAGTAGACTCCAATAACTGCAACAGCAAAAAGCCGGCATGAGGTCCACCCCAGTGAAGCAGATCTTTTTTCGAAAAAAAAAANAATCATTCAGTCGAGTCCTCCATTAGTCATTGCTTATGGTTACCCACCAATCTTCGAACTATTCCATCAGATAGAGTGGCTCTGAATTGAAGAATTTCACAAAGTTTCATAGTAGAGCATTCTTCTCAAAGAGAATGAGAAAAAACTCCAGAAAATAATTAAGTAATGTTATAGGAGACTGGTTCAATCCGACACTGCGCCCTCATATAGAAGGAGCTTTCAAAAACGATTTTTTTCTCAAGTAATCTTCAGGTTGCTGTATATTTCTTCACGGCTACTTATGGGACGGTGAATTTGGACGTGTATGACGGACCCGATGCCAGCGCCGACACCATCTATACAAGGTAACGAAATGAGCGTAAAAACCAAAAATAAATTCCATTGTCATTGATCCTATATGTATTAATTGGTAGGGAATAATATTACAGTGGGTCCCTAATATTTGACGCGAAGAAAAAATCAGCCCAATAAAAAATGAGTTTTTTCGAGCGCTAGCTTTCCGACTTCATCCATGCGGGGACCGATTTCAATTTGTCGAATAAATAAAATCGACCCTATCTCGATTTCGAAACAAGATAGAGACCTGCAGTTGGAACCACTCAGTTCAACGGCTTAAAATATTAGGTTGATGCATAATTATTGCGGATTTTTTCGCGGCTTTTTTTCTCTCGATAGAGTTTGAATATTGAGTTCGGGTTTGCTCTAGAAATGATCTACTTGTTTATCTCTACAAGAATATACTCAAAACACCATCCGCATATTCGCGAAATTAAGCTTAACTACTCCGAGAAAGATTGGAAGGTGGCACAGTCATTCCACGATCTCAGTAACTTTTCGGAGATCGAACCATCAGCCAGAGCCAACCGAGAAATGGGATCTGCCCCTAAATCTGCCATATTCACCAGCAGAAACTTCTATGGATTATCTCGTCGACAGTTAAGCGAAAAAATGGTTAGAGAATAGAAGTTACGTCGATTTGGATGACTTGATGGCCGATGTCAAGGCGTGGATCGCCCGTAAGGATCAAAACTTCTTCGCTTTTG